TGCTTTAAATCAGAAACATTTTAAAGGACAATACTTAACTTTAATTTTCTCGACTTTTGGTGCACAACTTTGAATGGAGATGTCAATAGTTGGAAAATGCCTAAAAGGTGGGCAGCATAAAACTGAAAGTGCAGAAAAGAGCCACAATAATCTACAAAAAGTGCATAGAGTCTCTGGTTAATGAAAATCAGCACTGCTAGAGAAATTAACCTAATTTTAAGTAGGTTGAAAATCAGTGTTTTAAACCTAGCAAACCAATGTTTGAAGCTGTGATCTGGGCTTCCTTAGGCAGTTCTCACATATATCAATAAATGATTGCCTTGGTAAAAATGAACTTGAAAATGAACTCCTTATTAATGACGAAATAGAACAGGAAAAATGAAAGTTGGAAGCACTTTCTCCAGTGTATTCAGTCCTATACTGACCCAACATGAACTTTGAAAATATTGTACTTACATTCAACCAAATGAAGAATAGGAGAGCAGTAAATTGCATTAGAATTTTCTCCCACTCAGCTCCGCAAAACCAAATCCTAAAAGATTAAATTTACCTCTTTCTCTATAGTATTTTCCTGAAATCACATCTGATATAATTAAAAAATTTGTAAGTTCTATGTTGAAATAAGCTTTAGCAGTCACTCAATATAGATAAAACTTCAGTATTTATTTATTTATTTATTTTTGAGTTGGAGTCTCACTCTGTCACCCAGACTGGAGTGCAGTGGCTGCTCCCAGCCACCGCAGCCTCGACCTGCTGGGCTCCGGCAATCCTTCCACCTCAGCCTTCCAAGTAGCTGGAACTACCACACCTGGCTAATTTTTGATTTATTGTAGAGATGAGGTCTGACCAAATTGCCCAGGTGGATCTTGAACCCGCGGGCTCAGGCAATCCACTCACCTCAGCCTTCCAAAGCGCGGGATTACAGCCTGAGCCACCGAGCCCGGCTAACTTCAGCATTTATGATTGATGGTCATTATACTTGAACATTCCCAGTGATTGATGCCTTTTGACTTTACAAAACAGTCCCTATCATTTTGAACACTTGAATTTTAAGCTGAAACTTTTCCCCCTTGGTACTACAAAACAAGTCACATATGTTTTTGCTTAGCAGTTTTTCAAATATTTGGTCTTCTCTTTAAGTTAAACATTCTGAGTTCCTGGAATCTTGCCTCAAATTAGATGTTTATGAATGCTTCATCATTCCTGATTTCTCTTCTCTAGATGCAGCTGTTTGTAAATCTTTCAAAATAAGAATAATTAACAGAACAGGGCAAGTGTGATCTGACTAGGGTAGAGATTATTCGAATACTTAAAGTTTCTTGATTCAGATGTTAACTTATTAATGTAGTTTAAGTATGAATTATCTTGCTTAACAACTATGTTATACCAGCTCATATGTATTTATATCAATTTTAAAATAAACTTTTCCCAACTAAGGTATTTATTGCCCATCCTAACCTGTGTAAATGATTTTTGTGAACTTAAAAGCAAGACATACTGTTCAACTCTGCTAAATTTCATCTTATTGCATTTGTATGTCTAGTCTTTTAAGATCTTTGAAACCAGGGTTAATAGCCATGCTTTAATTATTCTGCCCAGATATTTTTCACCTACAAGTTCAATATACATGCTTTCAACTGATATATTGTGAACTGGACAGATACAGATACCTAAGGCATGTGTTAGAAATGTCTCTCATCTCTGAATACCTATTACTCTAGCGTACAACACACCATCTAGTTTTTCCTACATCCATGCATTCAGCAAGACTCATGAGTGCTTACTAGATGCCAGACATGGTATCTAGAACTTTAGGTTACTGGAGATATTACAGTAAAGAGAAGTAAGTCCCAACCCACTTTGACTTTACATTCTGGTGAGGACAGGTGAAATAAAAAAGTAACCAAACAAATAATGTAATTTCGCATAGTGATAATGAGGAGAATAAAGCACAGCAAGAAGTTAGCGAATATAGAGAGTGGTTTGAGGGTGCTATTTTCAACAGATTAATCTAAGAAGGTAACTTTTAGCAGACAACCTAAATTATGTGAATATCTGCACATATGCAATGTGAATATCTGAAAGAATGATTTTCTAGGAAGGCATAGCAAGTGCAAAGTTTCTGAAGAAGGCACAGTCTTTCCAGAAAGAGAAAGAGAAAAACAATCAGCCAGGTTAGCTGGAGTACAGTGAACCAGGGCAGGAACAAGTGGTGGGCAATAAGCCGTAATAATGATTTGAGATTTTATTATTAATATAATGGGGAGCATTTGGAGGACTGTAAATCAGGTTTCAATATGATCTGATTAGACTTTATAAAAAATATTTTGACTGCTGTTAAGAGACAGTATTGAAGAAGGACCAGAGTGGAAGATAGAAAACCTGTCGCCTTTGGGAGGCTGAGGTGAGTGGATTGCCTGAGCCCGCGGGTTCAAGACCCGCCTGGGTAGCGAGACATCATCTCTACAATAAATCAAACAATCAATCGGGCGTGGTAGCGCATGTCTGTAATTCTGGCTACTCGGAAGCTGAGGCGGAAGGATTGCAGGAGCCCAGCAGGTCGAGGCTGCGGTGGCCAGAAGCGGCCACTGCACTCCAGAATGGGCGACCGAGTGAGATTCCAACTTAAAAAAAAAAAAAAAAAAAAGAAAAAGAAAAAAAAAGGAAAACCTGTAAGATGCTTTTGCAACAGTTCAAATTAGAAGTGCTAATGACTTCGATGTAGTAGTAACGGAGGAGGTAAGGAGTACTCAGATTGAAGGTATAGGCTTTAAACTTACTGGTGGCTTAGAAAAGAAGAATTAATAACTGGATGAATTTAATGGTCTTTTTCAGTACTCTGCTTTTATATATGTCTTCTTTTGTATTTGGGTTATAAACTTTTCAAGGACCATGCTCTTTTTCTCTCATACCACCTCAGTTCCAGGTACATAGAGGGTGCTTAATAAACATATTAATCCATCAACAGTAGGTCATCTCTGAATCCTCCACTTTTGCCCTTATAATTCCTTCTTTGAAATGTCTTAGATCCTATCATTTCTATTCATTCTTGCTCTTAACATTCTGATGTAGACTCAAGTTGTCTAGAAGCTAGATTACCACTACAAGTATCTAGCTTCTCTCTCTCACTCCAGTCTATCCCAATCTAATTGAAAATTAATAACTTGAAAAATTTGCTTTCAGTCATTCATTCAAGAAGTACTTACTAATTTGTCTGTTTTGTGTCCACAACTCTTCTAGATGCCAAGTGTATAATAATAAACAAAACAGGCAAAAATATCCTGCCCTTTTGGAGTTTATATTTTCAAAAACTAAAAATATAAAATGCATTTGATAATAGTATACTCTATGAAGAAAAATGAAACAGGAAAATGGGTTTAAGGAGTGTTAAGGATTTCAGAATTTTAAGTAAGGAACACCTCTTTAAAGAGATTGCATTTGAACACAGATTTTAATCAAGTGATGGAGTAAGTCATACAAAGATCAGAAGGCATAACAGTACAAGTTCCCTGACGTGGACATGAGTTTGACTTGTATGAGAAATGGAGAAAAGGCTGGTATGATTGGAAAGTGAGTTGGTGGCTGAGTGGCAGGGGGTGAGGTCAGAAAGATGGTAAAGGACATCTAGGGTCTTAAGGACATGGTAAGAAAGTTGCATTTTATGCTATTTATGAATAGAAGCCTTTGGACAATTTGGAGCTGGACAACATTTGAGTTGGTGGCTGAGTGGCAGGGGCTTAGCTCAGAAAGATGGCAAAAGACATTTAGGGTCTTCAGAACATGGTAAGAAATTTGCAATTTATGCTATTTGTGAATGGAAGCCTTTGGACAATCTAGAGCTGGACATCATTTGATTTTTTTAAAATCATCTAAGCTACTCTGTAGATCACTAACTGTAAAGGATTAAGGTCACTTGCCCTATGAATTTTGGAGGCTTTTAATCAAATCAAAGTTCTCTGTCTATTTTCCAATGTTGTTATTATTAGCTGATCCTATCTCCCTCCCATTAGTCCTCAGAATATGCACTTTATTTGTCAAGCTGGTTTCATTATGAGCCTCCTAACATTATATATATTTATACTTCTCCACCTTTGCCTATTCTTCCCCTTTAAGACATTGCCCTCTATCCTCTCTTATCTACCATTCAAGAACCATCACAAGTTTTAATTATAACATAGAGTGCTTTCTCAACTGTCTCACCTCACTGATGTCTCCAGTCATTAAATAATGTAGCTCTTGAAAGTAGTTCATAACTAAACACATGATCATGTACAATTTATTGTTGCCAGTATTTACTGTGTGCTAATCTTATATTCTCAATAATGTTACAAGTTCTATGATAGTAGAGAGGTGATGAATTCTACACCTCTCATGGCATCCATCAAGCCTGGGGAGTACAGCAAGTGAATATGAACTGATGTAACATGTGGACTGACAGTTTTTTGTCATGATGATCACCCAAGTAACTTCCCGCAGAGCAGGGAATTAGGTTAGGTGGATGGAACCCATAATTTCTTGCCTCAGTCACCAGAGTCAACTAGTCATTATATAACAGTACACTAGGTCTTACTGAAAAATTCTCGATGTGCACCTTCTTGATTTTAATAAAACAATATATACCTGTCAGTTGAACACTGACCACAAAACACTGTATTTCTTTATGTTATCACTTGGTTTTGGCAGCAAATAACAGTTTCGTTGAAAGTGAAACTCCAGTTGGAAGGCCAGGTAGCACCTGCTCAAAGGGCTGGAATGTAACTATTATAGTCACAAGGATGCTGGGTGTTCACAGCTGTTCAGGGAGGGAGAGGTACACAGAGGCCTGGCCATAGATGCAGCGGAGACGAATGGGGAAGAGGCAGCCCAACTGCAGGCAGCCATCTCTTCCCCCTCCTCACGCTTGGGTTCTGGGCTGAGGCCAGGGACTGTCCGGAGTTGATCTCAGGCTCCCATTGGCCGCTGTCTTTCGTGACGTCACGATCATGATGAGAATTGATGATCGGACTCGCTGATTTCATTGTCTGAGGCGGCAGTGGAGACCCAGGAAAAATCTCGCTGAATCTGCCTGCCCCAGCAGTGGTCTGCTCTGGGTTGCTCTGACCCCCTCGGTGACTGCACCACGCCCGAGGTAAGCTCCCAACCTGGGTGGGTGTGAAGGGCGAAGGAGGGTGGACAAGGCACCGGGATAATGCATTGACTAGTGGGGAGCCCGTAGGTTCCGTGGCCTAAACAGGCAGCCAACAAACTGGTGCGGCTTTGGGGGAGACAACTGCCTCTACTGCGAAGGCTGGCGGCAGCGTGAGGTTAGAAAGGAGCTGAAGATTGGAATACAGTGGGCATTGCCAAACAGTAAAGAACCTTGCTCCGAGAGAGAGCGATGTTTGGGACGCGCTTCTGGCCCAGTAGTAGGAGGAACTGGCACCTCTGACTCCGAAGAAAGGAGGGGATTGAATTCTACCACTTCTAGATTTCACTGGAGAGTAGATTTCTCATAGCCCTACTCAAACACACTGAGAGCGCGGCGTCTGCGCATTAGCATCTTCCTGCGCGGGCGGGGTGGGTGGGGGGTGGGGTGTGCTGGTATCGGCGAGGAGAATAGGCAAAGAGTTTGCGCAGGCGCCTTTTCTGTTTTGCTGGGGAGGGTGGAGCTGAGCCCTTTCTGGCCTGAATAAGGAAAGATTTGGGGAGTTGGCCTCATGATGTTTCAAGCACTAGTTGATGGGAAGGGATCTGCCAGTTACTTTGAATCTAGTTTAGTGAGTATACCCAGCCCCAAAATGGGCCTGATAAATTTGAGAAAGCAAATGTTTAATCTCCCGATAATAGATGTGGAATAACGGAAATAACTCGGAGAAGTGGAAAAGAAATGTTTCAGATAAGAAACAGTTTGGAGAAAAATAAACACTATTTAAATGAATCTAATTTTTAATCTTAAAGGAGCGCTTATTTGGGGGGAATTGTGGAGACTTAGAATAAGAATTTTTTCTTTCTTGTCTATTTTACTTCTGGGAACAGACTCTTTTAAATCTTTAATCCCTGTTTTAGGTTTGATGATAAGTCCTTCTGTCTTCTGCCTTTGCTAGAATCACTGAAGTCAAATACTATTTTTGAGGGAATCCCTTCAAACATCTATCATTGGGAAGGGTTATATTACTCAGCAATTGTGCGATCAACCTGTGTGTCCTTGACGGAGAAATTGTACAGTAATGTTATTAATTGCCTTCCACAGTCTGATCGTGGACTCCTGACTATTTCACAAATCTGGATTTTTCTCTATTTCTCATAGTAAAATAATTATAAAGTCCCAGTGGATTTTTCTTTGAAAGCCCTTTCCTATAATTCTTCCCTTTCTCCACAATATACATTCTCATCACCACTCATCTAGTCATTACAAGGGCCTCCTGGCTGGTCTTCACCTATGTCTCAAATCCTTAATTCATCCCACCGGTCTAATGATCTATGAACACTTTTTTCCTTAATGTTCCCTGAATAATCTATCTCCATACCTCTGCTCCTTACACCATTACCATGCCTTCATTTAAAATGTCTTCTTTTCTACGTAATTAATATCTTATCCAGTTTGGAAACTCAATTGAAGTTACACCTCTCCATATGTGTCTTCTAAGTCCAACCCAACTGTTATTAAGCTCACTTTTCCTAGAATTCCTATATCAATTTTTGTATTTGTCACCTTATTTGTATTGTCTTTGTGTGTGTGTGTGTGTGTGTGTGTGTGTGTGTGTGTGTGTGTGTTAGACTGAACTTATCAACTGAATTTTAAACCTCTCCTTAAAGGATCGAGACAGGCCATCTACTTCTTTATTGTCTGCCAGAAGCACTTGATTGAATAATCAAAATCAAAAATGTGTAATTTTTTTTCCTAGAAAACTATATCCTGGGAAACGAAGTAACATTACTATAGAGAGAAATGTACATGTGTGAAAAATTATTCATAATTGATCAGACAAGAGACCATCCAGTGAGTAAATAAATCTGAATATAAGTCAAAGAAAAGGCATTACAGAGATCTTTGTATAGTGGATGACTTCAAATTGTATCATATCCTCATAAACAGGACCAAGGGAATATTATCCCAGGATTAAGTCTGTAATTTTTTCAGTTTGAAAAATAATTCGGAGGTGTTCCATTGTTCTGTACTACTCTTTGGTGACATTGTATCATGTATATTTTAAAATATAGCAATTACTCACTTTTCATTACATTATGTCCTCAATTGCTGTTTTACACTGACTATCCCTTAGAGTTTTCACTTATTTATCTCTTAAATCAGAGCAGTTCATTGTGATGGTTGCCATAATTGCTATTATATAATGTGTTGATTGCCATATTCCTACCCTTTGGGCTTCAAACTGCATTGTTCCACAGAGCTCAAGTTTTACTTGAGTGACAGTGTGGTCATGGGTTAATATAGAGGCTTTTTACAGAATTCACTTTGGCTGCTGCCTCACTTTGAGGCACCATCCCAATATCACATAAAGGTTCTTGGTTTAGGAATATGGATGAAAAACAGTCCAAAAGTGTATTGTAACCTGTAAATTTGAAAATCTTTGTTGTAGATTATCATAAGTGAACTGTGAATGTTGCTTATTATAAGGGAAAATCCTTTCTCCTCAATCTTTTATCTTATTACCTACATTATGTGAATTTCTTCAAAGACTGTTTAGCCTATAGTCAGCTTGCATAGTAATTAAGACTTTCCTAGACACTTACATGTAGACTGATACAGAAAACTGTTCAAAGTTAGGCAACTTTGAATAGATGTGGTGCTCAGAAATATGCTGTTAATTTTAGAAAACCTCAAATAAAATATGAAAAAATAAGAGTGTGGTCTTGACTTTTTTAGGGTTTCTTTTACAATTCCTATCTTAATGAGAGGATGGCATTGGGTCATTTAATTTAAGTTGTAGAGTTTGGGCTGGAAGGGATTTTCTTTTTCTTTTTTTCTTTCTTTTTTTGTAGAGACCAGGTCTTGCTATGATGCTCAGGATGGTCTTGAACTCCTGGGATCAAGCCATCCTCCTGGCTTGTCTCCCAACGTGCTGAGATTTAAGCATGAGCCACTGCACCTGGCTTGGTATTTTCTAATTATAAGCCAATCTTCTCATTTTACTAATGAGGAATCTGAAGCCCAGAGAAGTGAAGTACCTTTTCATCATTAATAAGCACTGATACTTGTTAAGCACTTAGTGCCAAGCATTGTGTTAACAAATTTATATATGTTATCCCATTTAAACCTTACAACATCCTTATGAAATAGTTTCTAGTATTGTTTCCCATTTTTCAGATGAGAAAATGAATGGTCAATGCAGTTGACTTGCTTAGGACCACACTGCTACTAAATATCACAGTTAGGTTGCAAAAGTAGGTCTGTTTGACTTGTAATCACTAATTTATGCTTGATCAAGATCATGGAATGCACTTTTGGCAGAGTTTTACCTAGAATCTCAATCTATGGAGTCCCAGCTCAATGTGTGTGTGTGTGTGTGTGTGTGTGTGTGTGTGTGTGTGTGTGTGTGTGTGTGTGTTTTAAAACCCTATACATCTTACTACTTCTACAAAATCAGAGATTTTCAAGCTTCATCAAATGGTGTATCCTTACACTTATTTCAGGCATTTTATTAAAACACACTCAATCTTGATTGAAAAACATGATATGATACTTTTTATAAAATATATTTTTAAAAATATTTAATTTATTCTGTTTTTTAAATTCTGCTTTTAAAATTGTGTTATACTTCCAGAGATAATGATATTTTTATATAGTATAATTCCCAGCAGGATAAAAAAATTGAATAGTTGATTTTGATTTTACTGTGGGGTCAGCTTAAACTGAAACTGGTAGTGTCTTAATATACTTGCCTTGAGTACACTATATCTAGTTATATTGGTTTGGAAGTAAACAGTGGTCATTCCATTGCATAAAAAGGAAGCTGGTGAAGTTAGCTATTCAAAAGCTGTCACTTACACCCTGAGACCTTTTCATTCTGAATAAAATTTTAAAGCAATAAGTTGAAACCTGTCTTTGCAAATGGAGTCATCCTGTGACAACTAGCAACAAAATTGCCTGGTTTAAACAGAGATCTGGGTACACGGCAACTGGATACATGAGATTGCACTGTAAATCAATTAAATGCTGCACTTTAAATCTGCGATCTCTAAAATGCAACAGCAGTTGTCCTGCCTTCTTGGTTTCCTATTGTTTTATGGCTTGACTTATATGTCCAATAGGGTTGATCCTTAGAATCTTTAAACATGCCATTTGTCAGAGTGGCAAAAATTCAGGAAAACGTCTTAGCTTCTCTTCCTTTGGAGTTGGGAAACAATGTCTTTTAAGGTTCTTAAAACAACTGGGGAAACTTTTGGCTTACATTAACTCTGGTAGGCACTTTTCTCATGTAGACAAGTATTTGTACATGGTGCTTGTGCAAGGTCATGTAATTAGTAAGTGACTGAACCAGAACTTGAAGGCAAGTATCATTCTAGATGCTGAACGCTTAACTGCTAAGTTACTAGGTTATAAGTTAATGAGCTAAAGTGAGTAGATATATACATCCCCTACTTATTTTTCTTTCTGAGCCTCTTATACCTGTGACATTTTCCCTTTTCTCTCAATGGAGATAGATAGATAGATAGATAGATAGATAGATAGATAGATAGATAGACAGAGATAGAAATATATATACTGAGGTTTAGAGAAAGAGATCATTGTGTTGACCTCCACTGGTTTCACTGGCAGAAGGCACATAGACCCATATTCTTTTCTAATCAATGGTCAAACTAATCAATGGTGAAATAGTGAAAGCACTTTTTCACTGAATTTTACTAAAGAGTAGAATACAAGATTATATGTTTTCTTCTATGCTAATCTATTACTTTAATATTTTCTTATTGGATTTGCTTGATCTACCTAATGTGTGTTTTATGAATGAAATAGCTGTGCCATGTGAGAAAGTAATTGTCTAAGATCCATTTCCAAATAGCTTTGCCCTTCTGTTGACTAATCATTTGTTGTGATGTAATCTCCTCAAGAGAGCAACAATTGGAAGAGGCTCAGGTTTTGTAAAATGTGGAAGAAGAAATATATTCTGCATTTCTGGGAAGTATTGC